TCACCATCCCAGCTTCCACCTAGGTCTGGGTTTGGCGCTGTGGGGACAGCGGCTTGCAGGTTCCTTCCAGTGACGGCCAGGTCAGGGGGTGCCTATGGTGTGAGCTGTGCCTCCTGGTGGTGTCTTTCAGGGAACAGGCAAGAGAGCTACAAGAGGAGGTGGCGAGGCTCCGAAGCATCCTCCGCCATGAGGAGTTCATTGATTCGATGCTGGAGGAGATAGCTAGCATCTACCTCTGGGACTGAGAAGGAAGAACTGCCAGAGGCAGCTCTAGAGAAGAGAGAGGACATGGACTCCCAGGAGGGCAGAAGCTGGAAGCTTGTGACACCTGGCAGCAGGCAGAAATCTTCACCTCCACCTGCAACAGTTTGTCTGGACAGCAAATATGCAACCCTAGCAACAGAGAGGGAGAAGCAAGTCCCATTAGTGGAAGAGGATAGGCTAGGCCTCACCAAGAAGGAACAGGTGGGGGCGATGGCTGGATGTGTTCAAATCATCAGGCCCAGATGATCTTCATCCAAGGGTGCTGAAGAAATTGGCCAGTGTCATAGCGGAGCCGCTGGCACAGCTGTTCGAGCGCTCATGGGGCTCTGGTCAGGTCCAAGAGGACTGGAAAATGGCCAGTGCGGCCTCTATTTTCAAGCAGGGGAGGGGACAGATGAACCAGGAAACTATAGGCCAGTTAGTCTTACCTCTATGCTTGGGACAGCTCTGGAAAAAATCATTAAGGATTGCATTCGTGGGAGCCCAGCAGGGCAAATAATGCTGAAAGGAGATCAGCACGGGTTCATTTCAGGGAGATCCTGCCTGACTAACCTTGTTCCTTTTTATGACCGGGTCACAAAATGCTTAGACGCGGGAGTCGAAGTAGATGTCATCTACCTAGACTTTAAGAAGGCCTCCCATATGGTATCGCATTCTGTTCTCGTAATGAAGCTGGCAGGCTGTGATGCAGATGATTACACAGTCAGGTGGTGGCAAACTGACTTAGGGGGTCGCACCCAGAGAGTGGTGGTGGCTGGGCGGATACCGACCTGGAAAGATGTAGGCAGTGGAGTCCCGCAAGCCTCGGTCCTTGGACCGGTGCTATTCAGTGTCCTCATTAGTAACTTGGACAAGGCCGTGGAGACCACCCTGTCCAAGTTCGCAGAGGATACCAAATTAACGGGGCAAAGTTAACACAGCAGAGGGTAGGGAACGGATCCAGGCAGATCTGGACAGGTTGGAAAAATGGGCAGAACGAAATAGGATTTAGTGCAACAAAGACAAGTGCAAAGTGCTGCACTTGGGCAGAAAGACCCACCAACACACTTACAGGCTGGGGGATGACCTTCTCAGCAGCACAGCAGTGGAAAGGGATCTTGGAGTCATAATGGACCCCAAGATGAACATGAGTTGTCAATGCGACCAAAGTGATCAACAAAGCTAACCGCACTTTACCGTGCATTAGCAGATGCGTGATGAACAGGTCTGGGGAGGTGATGCTTCCACTCTGTGCAGCATTGGTCAGGCCACATTTCAAGTACTGCATCCAGTTTTGGGCGCTGCACTTCAAGAGGGATGTGGAGAATCTTGAAAGGGTTCAGAGGCCACTTGTATGGTCAGAGGCCTGCAGGAAAGGCCCTACAAGGAGAGACTGAGGGACCTGGATCTCTTCAGCCTTCGCAAGAGAAGGCTGAGAGGTGATCTTGTGGCAGCCTATAAATTCATTGGGGAGTGCAGCAGGGAATAGGAGATGCTGTATTTAGTAGGGCACCCCCTGGAGTAACTAGGAACCAATGGCCACAAATTGACGGAGAGCAGATTTAGGCTGGACGTTAGAAAGAACTTCTTCATGGTACGGGTTGCCAGAATCTGGAGTGGGCTTCCAAGGGAGGTGGTGCTCGCCCCTACCCTGGGGGTCTTCAGGAAGAGACTGGACAAGCATCTGGTAGGGGCTGCCTGACCCCAGCACTCTTACCTGCCCAGGGCAGGGGGCCAGACTTGATGACCTACTGAGCGCTCCCTTCTGACCCTAACATCTATGCATCTGTGAAACTACCTGAAGGGAGGTTTGAAAAAGAGGATGAAGCTGGACTGTTCTTAGCGGTGGCAGATGATAGAACAAGGAGTAATGGTCTCAAGTTACAGAAGGGGAAGTTTAGATTAGATACTAGGAAGAATTTCCTCACTAGAAAAGTAGTAAAACTCTGGAACAGGCTCCCTGAGGTGGTGGAACCTCCATCCTTGGAGGTGTTTAAGAACCATCTAGACAAAGTCATGGCTGGGATGATGTAGTTAGGACTGGTCCTGCTTGGAGCAGGGGGTTGGACTAGATGTGACCTCCCGAGGTCCCTCCCAACCCTCATTTTCTATGATTCCATATTCGAGTTATGGTCAAAGACCATCCATCTACTCCCTATCATCAAGGCTACCAAGGAAAGGGGCCAGGTATCAGCTTCCATTTGCTGGGCCAGATTTTGGGTTTGGTTGGTTGTTTTCTGGCCCTGGAGAGCTGTTGGCATTATTAGTTATGCCTACACAGAATACGATTTCCATCAGCTGCCAGTGTGTCAGCGTGCCTGGAGCTATAAAGTGTATAAAGAATAAGGCCGTTTCATGGAGGATTCCAAAAAACGTTTGACGACTGGTTTCATTCTAACTTGGAACAAAAATCTTGAAGATCTCCGTGGAAACAGAGTCTGAAAAGAAAAGATGGTTTTGGAACATAGACGCAGGTCACTTCGACAGCTTGGGACCTAGGTTATACAGGGACCCTCCCATCAGCCTTTCAGGAAGCAGAAGAGGTTTCAAAACCGGCCCGGTAGGCAGGGGTCTGCCCGAGGCTTGCACCTGAGTTCCACCCAAAGGTCACAAAATAGAACCGCATCTTTTCAAGGCTTTTTATTTTATTTTGTTTAGGCAAATACACATCCACCGCGGGAAAAGCATTCTGTCAGAATTCACAGAAAGCTCTACAATCTCCAGCCTGTGTGTAGGCAGCCTTGGCTTAAACTCTGAAGGGTAAACACTTTCAAAGCACTCAGGCCCCATTTTCAAAACTAACCCAGAGGCCTACTGGATCAGCTTTTGAAAAGACCATCGTAAGTAACAAACCACTCTATCCTCAAGTTATGTTCAAAACACAACTAGCCTAAGACAAGTTTAAAAGATATCCTTTATAATAAAAAGCAATTCCAAAAGAAAGCAAACAATCAAAGTCTGCTCAGCCTCCGGTCCCCTGAACACTTTAACTCTGATGCAGAACACAGAACAACCTCATGTTACCACACAGTTTCTGCACTGCAATTTCTCTCTGTCTCCTGAATAGTTCTATAAACAGTTCTTGCTCCTTTTTGGTCTTGCTATTTGGGAAAGCTTGGCGGGGGGGGGAACCAAAAAAAAAAACAAAAAAACAACACTTACTAAAATTTGCTTACACATTGACAAAATACTTTACAAAGCAATCTCTGACACAGGTCACTTTTAAATGCTTAAAAAGGGAACAGGAGTTGACATCTTTGCATGCTTCTGTACAAAATGTAACCCTGAATGGTTGCAAGGGTTTTGCTAAACTTGTACGGATGCAGGAGCAAACAGATGTAACAGGTACAGCAGATGGGAACTCTCAACTGCATGCGTTTGTTATTGTGCAGGGGGTGGTCCCAATTAGTTTGATCACTTGGTGTTCAACTGCACCGTGCTATAATACTCCATTCACAATTACTGATGAACGCTATTCTTGAAAGCTCTAGCAGGTTTAGCTTCCCAATTCCTACGGCACATCTGCAAAGGAGATCATTTCTTGCTATAAAATTCCTTTCTGGACTTGAATTGTAATCGCCATTTAAATGTTTTCGTTCAAAACAAGTATGCGCTAGAGTAGTGTTTCCTGAAACCGGAGAGTGATAATACAAAGAATTTACTTTTCATCAACCAGCAAGCCCTGGAATTTGCGGCCTGTGTTTTTATAAGTACTGCAGATCAAGCACAGTGGAAGTTTTAACTAAACTCTGAAGAGCTAAAAATCTACCATGGCTGGCTGGCTCCAAAAGAGTTGGCCAGAAGTAACCCTGGTGTGGTAGCTGAAAGCAGAAGCATCCCACGATAAATCAACAGACTATTATACCATCGCTTGCCTGGAGCCTGGCTATAAATAAAACTCAATTAAACATGGCGAGCGTCTGAGAAAACACCACTGTCTGCTCAGTGGTAAACAGAACAAGTGACCTTAGGAATTCCACCCCCCATCTGCTTCATCAACTGCTCAGCTCCAGTGCATCATACACTCTTTACTTCTGTGCCCCTGGGTGGATCAAGAACTGCTAAAAGCAGAGATAGGCAAAAAAGCGCACAAAAAAAAGCAAGGACAGAAGATTAGAAGTGAAGACTCAGACACGAGACACAAGGACTAAAACACCAAGATGAGTGTGATGCAGCAAGCAAGACATGAAGGACCCTAGGGGTATAAATGTTACAGGCCTTGCCCCCGCCCCAGCCTTCTCCCTACCACCACCAGAAGCAGGAGCCACCCATTTAGTAAAAGCAGCATGGCGTTATTCATTTTGTAGGGAAAAATGATATGGAATTCACTCTCAACAGCCCACAGAGAAAAATGCAGCCATCTTTAAGCAAAGAAAAATTCCCATTCTGTGCTTGTTAACAATTTAGAATGTGAGACAATACCTGGAGCATTTTTATTAAGACATTACCTTTTAGAAGTTGTCCAGCCAAATTAGGCAAATTGACCATAACCCTGAATCCTATAAGTCTAAGTACAAAAGGAGCTCCAGAAAAGTCAGGAATAGTTTATCACTGAAATAATCTATCACTGGTTTAAAAAAAAAAAAAAAAAAAGAAAGAAACCAACAGTAAGTAAATGGTTGCATTTTACTATTCCCCAAGTGGCTGGAAACTGAGCAGGCATCATCATCATCAGCCAACTGGATGACAATGCACCTGGAGGTAGAAGTGCAGCCTGGAGTAATGATGCAGTGAAATCCTGAGAGCAAAGTACACACCTTGGCATTGATATATGGGTCAAAGGGGCCGTACTTTTTGAGTTCTTTGATCTCAAGAGCATTCTACAAAAAGGAGAGGAAAAAGAAAATAAAATATGATAATGAAATGGGCGAGATACAGTAACAAAGCAATGGGCGACTCTGGAGGGGTGGAAATGACAGAACACGGCATCTTGTTCTAGTCCAAAGCAGTTAACCACACTGGCCGTTCCAGCTGTCACATCTCATCATTTGAACCACTGTGCACATCATTTACACACCTTTAAAACATATCCATCATGCAACCTCTTGGACTGAGTTCACCCATTTAAAAGGTTCAGCTGAAAGAGCCAATCAATCAGCATTACCTGGCAAGATCACACTATGTCTTTTTAATTTTCTGAAAAGGTTTCTCCCATACCTGTCCTACTCCTGACCTTTGACAGCAACACCATTTTTCTTTACACTCACAGGGCCCTCAGTTGACTCCCACTGTAGATGGATTGTAAACGATCTAGCATGCTTTCCCAAATTTAAAGAGAACAGAGTGACTGCCTGAAGCTGGGCCAGAGGGCTATGTTCAGCACAGCCCAAAACCAAAAAGGTGACTGATACGCACAACAAGCATGTTAAAATGTGCGCGCTTTGTTTTTCACTGAGGGAAGGTAATAACTAGTGCTTCCGCAGTGCTCTTCATCTTTAGGGTGCTTTATGAACAAATAATTTAGTCTTTATCACAGCCTTGCAAGGCAAGGAACTCCACTGTACATATGAGGAATCGAGAGCTTGAGTGCTCCCCGCCACCCCGAGGTTGCAGGGGTGAGCGTGTGTCAGAGATGGGATTTAAATGCTAGACCTCCCAAGTCCCAAGCCTCTCCTCCAGCCACCGGAGGACAGTTCTAGGGCAGGGAGAGGGTTATTGATCCTAGGAAGGGTCCTGAAGAGAGCACTTGCCTTCCAGGCTGCAAGTGGCTAAGCAACATGAGCAGAACAGCATTATTCCAAAGGTTCCTTTTCCAAATGCTTAGACAAAAGGGCAAATGGTTTGGATCTCAAGCAGGATTCTTTAAATGAGAAAACTGTTTGTGCCCAGCTGCCCCACACACAGATGAGCTGACATGAATTGCTCTTGCTCTGCTATCTGTGTCGAGAGGAACACTGGAGCTGTGGAGGAACATTGCAGCCTGGCCTCGGGAAGCTGAGCAGGGAGGCTGGTGCTCCTAGATGGACAACAGAATCACTGCGCAGAACAGCAGGTTCAAGCAGACCAAGTCAGTCTGCATCACACAAAAGGCAGGCCCTCTCCTTCAGTCAAAAACGGCTGTCATCTAGGACTACGTTATATTCCTTTACTTGGAGTAAACGGTAAAGCCCCCCCCCCCAACTAAATCAGTTAACTGGAGCACGAGTGGTAGAAATCAGCCAGTGGAGCAGCTAGGAGAGTGTGGCCAAACGAAGGCTAAGACAAAGCTGCTTTGATTAGTTCCCCAACCGAAGGGAGCCAATGTATCCTTTGACAGTTTTAGCAATCTTTTCTTAATTACACAGCAACTAGAAAGGAAATGATTAGTGTCAGCTTTCGAGTCCCAGTAAAGAAGCAGGCTGCAGTCTGTGCACTCAGCGGTTCGTACTGCTTGCTTGCAACCAACTACCCTCGATCATGATTTAATCAGTCAGTCAGACCTTTATAAACTCTAGAGACGGATCATTCTTTGTACCATCAGAAATTGGGTATTTTTAACACTCCCCAGAAGCAGCTATTGCTGGATGCCTTATGCTGTGTGGTTAAAAAGATTTTCCCCCTCCCAAAAGTAGGAGAATTATTCCACTGGCACATTAGAGACAATTAAGAGGAAGAAAATATCCAGACCTGCTCATTCACTTTAGTGTGGGAGGGTCCTTGGTGGATGAGGAGTTTCACTATTTCTGCATCTCCCTTCCAGGCTGCCAAGTGAAGAGGGTAACAACCCTTACAGTCCGCTACATTGGTCAGTGCATCGTTCCTCAGCAGAACTTCCACCACGTCCCTGGAAAATAAGGATGCCTTCTGAGTCAGTTATTCCATCCCATGGAAACCCGATGACAAGCATTTACGAGACTGTACCCAAAGTTGAGTGTTATTGCTCAGTAACCTAAATCCGAACAGAAATATTTTCATGGTGTGTCTTGAAAATCTTGCAAATGCAAATTATTCCCACAGACTGCTGCCCGAAAAACAGTGAAACAAGTTACAGGAAGATAAGCTAAGAACTTTCTACATTTTTTTGCACTGGTGAAATATCTTCAAGTAGACTAGCTGCCCAGGAATCAAATACAAGTGGGACAAGAACTGATTAAATGTCAAGTCACTTATTTTCTACCTGCACTGGGAGCAGACACAGGTGCACTGACACGAGCATAAAAGCCAATGGTAGGCAAGTCTTTAGTGTCAGAGAACAAGGCAAGCCAAATTAAAAGAAAAAAAAGTTTACAGTAGAAAAAGAACTACTGAAAAGTTAATAAATAATCTTAGCCAATAGTGAGCAGACAAGAGTCTCCACACATACTGACAGTTGTAACAAAACGGCATGTTACTGTATTGTAGACAGCACAAATGCAACTCGTGACTACATACATGTAATAGTGGGATTCCAGTGGACTTTGCTGCTGAAGCAGGAATGTTCTGAATAATATATGCAACAAGAAGTCTCACTCACTGATTAGGACTGTTAAACAAGACTAATGAGATGGCCCCACTATCCTTGCCAAATTTTAAATTTACAGAATTGCATTCGACAGAACATTCCCTCTGCAGTTTCCCTGCAATAGCGTTCTTTACTTCTTGTCCTGAAGACGGTGTAGTGCTGGCACCACTGCACCATTCTCTCTCAGAGGAGGCAGCATGGCACTCAAGTTATGAATAAAGGCAGTCTACATAAACATGCAGTTTGCAAAGCACGCGGGTACCCTTTGGGGTAAGAGGCGCTACAAGAGAACTTACTTGTGACCATTCAAAGCAGCATGGTGCAGGGGAGTATACCCTGTACTGTCAACGCAGTTCACATTCGGCCCCCTCCAGATGCTGCAAGATAAAAAAAACAAAAAGCACAAAGAACGCTTAGTTGTATACCAAAAACTTAGAGCGCGCCAGCTGGTAAGGAAAAGTTTCTGCCAAGTTCTTACGCCGAGTTGGGTTCCTACAAGACAAGCCATCACAATGGAGTGGCCAGTTGCAGTTAACTGCAATAACGCAGAGAACAGATATTACATAACACTGTGTTAAACGAGGGTGACAAGTGCCACAAAGCAAAAGACAGTCTCACTACTCAGCATTCTTCCCAGACACCTGAACTCTCAAGCCAGAACCTCATTCCCTCACCGCCGCATACCCTACAAGACCTCAAAATGGACCATCTTCTTCAATGACATGCTTTCAAGAAGCTTGAGTGCAGTACTCACCTATTTAAAAGTCACCCAGCATCCCAGACCACCACACAAGCAACCCACAACTAATTCACTCCCCTTCTCTGGAGGGCTTTGGTAGGCTGGGGTTCCCTGTTCCCACAACAGTAAGTCATGACGGATGTGTAAATAGGATTTGAAGCCTTTCATCTTTGAACTGATCTAAATTCACCACATTGGTGGCAGCCAAAACCCATTCTTGACAGCTGTATATAGTTTGTGAAAAAAAAACACGTAGGTGGTCTCAGAGCAGTTCCAAGTTGTACCATCACAACTGGCGTCCTTTGCTCCATGCTATCCACGGAGAATGAATCCTCCCTTAAGCCCCTTGGAGGTGACCCATTTAAAAGCAGCCCAAAAGGGGAAAAGAAGCATGCATAAGAAGCTGCCACCGACTACAGCAGGGGCAAGGTTAAAGGAATTCAGTCTCTACATGTGCCAAGTCTTTTAGCAGCGCTACAACCTGCCTTTAGGAGAGAAGATGGATGCATTCAAATCCACACACTCCTGCCTTTCTTAAGCAAGCCTGCATCTAGGACAGCCCCTATTCCTGCATGTTGGCCTGTTCTGCGATTGAGATGCATGAAAAAGTGCAACATGCTTTGCTACAGAAACCTAGGAAGTATCATGATTTCCTATGCAATATTGTTTTGTGCTTCTTATTTATTTGTTAATGGGGGGGGGGGGGTTTTTGGCTATACCCTCCAATCCCCAATTTCAAAGTTTTAAAAAAAGGGGGTAATTTTTTGTTTTTTTTTTTTTTTAATGGGGGGGGGGGGGTATTTGGCTATACCCTCCAATCCCCAATTTCAAAGTTTTAAAATAACGGAGTTAATTGTTGCTTTTTATGAACGAGGTCTTTCCTGACAATTTAATTTCCTCCGCAGCATGTAATCACTACTCCTCATTGTAAGACAGAGGCAGCCTGAGCGGTTATTAAGTTTTCTGAAATAACAGTCATTACTCGAGGGCTGCTAGCCAGCAAAGACACCACACCACATGTACCATATAAATGCAGCAGAAAGAAACTGGGGTAATGCAGGAAAGGTACAAAACCAATGGAAATCCAATGCAGGCCAAGCAGGAACTGTGTAAGCCAAACAATGCACTTCCCTCTTTTCCCTTTCAACCACATGTTTAAATACTTAGGTTGGCTTCCCTTAACCACAAAATGCTTGTAATTAAATCAGTTCCTTCACAGAGATCCATCCTGATCCAGCAGTCAAACCATTATTAAAGGGCTTCCGGTGTAAAGTACAAGCACTGCCATGGCAGACATAAGGAACAAGCCCTTGCCAAGATGGGTGGGGGTAGAAAGGGCCACGAAATACAGCTTTGAGAAAGACTGTGTTGTGTTAAACATTTGTGCCACAAACTGCGCAATCCTCCGAATTTACTTCAGATGGAAGATCCGACCTAACCAGAACAGGACAGAGATGCTTTTGATTAATCTGTCATTGATAGCTGGGAGCAAGAATATTTGCTGCCCTTCTGGTAGCCTATAAAAGGTACTAGTGTGTTTGGATGGTACAGAAGGGAATCTTTAAGCAGGGATCAGCAACTTTTTGCTGCCCTAGGTTGCTGCTTGAGAACTAGTCTGTGCCATGGGCCCTGTATCTTCACCCCACAACCCAGGTGTGCTTACCTGCACTACCAATCCCCATTACAGGGCCAGACACAGGCATGGCAGCCACCCGGGGCCCGGCAAAAAAGGGGGCCTGAGAATTGTAATTTTTTTATTGTCATTATCACTCTCTCTGGCGAAGGGGGCCGCGCCCC